GGAGGAGCTGTTCTTCATAACCTGCGCCCGCTGGCGCGCGCGTCTCCATCCACGGCTGTGCCTGTGTCGGACAATATCAAGATGTGTTTAATCAACGCAAGGTCTGTTTCCAACAAGACGTTTATCCTCAATGACTTTTTTAAAGATGAGGAGTTGGATTTTCTGTTCGTCACAGAATCTTGGATTTCTGATGGTGAGTCCAGCGCCTTGGTGGAACTACTCCCTCCGGACTGTCTGTGTTTCAATGCCCCGCGGCCATCAGGTCGGCGCGGGGGGGGATTATTAACTGTTTTTAAAGCAAACTTGGCCTGTAAACAGTTGTCCATCCCGGTGTCCCGCGCCAGCTTCGAGCTGAGCGCCTTTGAACTTGGACACTCTCCTCCGGTCCTGTGTGCACTCATCTACCGCCCACCTCGTTCTAAGGACTTCATAATTGAATTCTCTGACTTTTTGGCTGATATCACTCAGAGATACACTCACTTTTTGCTTATTGGTGACTTTAATTTGCATGTGTGTTGTCAGGAGAAGCCCTTAGTGAAGGACTTTCTGGATTTGTTGGACTCTTTTAATTTAGCTCAGCAGGTGAGCGGCCCCACCCAGGAACATGGTCACACTCTGGACCTCGTTTTAACACGTGATGTCTCTGTTTCTAATTTGAAAATCGGTGACAATGTTTTTTCAGATCACATGCCTGTATTGTTTGACTTCACCCCCCCTTGTCCTACTGCTAAGACGTGCGTTCCTGCACGTACGCGTTCCATTAACCATTTCACTGCTGCTCTTTTTAATGAAGGTTTTAATTCTGAGAGGATCAAACAGTTCTCGGTGTCTCTTACCACTGAGGAGCTAACCTCTCAGTTCAACTCTGCCTGTTTAGATGTTCTGGACTGTGTTGCTCCCCTTAAAACCAGAAAAACGAAACTTAAATCAGAGCCTTGGCTGAATGACGTCACGCGAGCCGTTAGGCGGCAGTGTCGCAGAGCTGAACGAAAGTGGAGGAAGGACAGGCTCCAGGTGTCTTTTCAAATGTTAAGGGAGAGTTGGCGTCACTATCAGAAAACCGTTAAAGCTGCCAAATGTAAATTCTTCTCTGATTTAATTGTCTCCAACTCCCACAACCCCCGAGTTCTTTTCTCCACCCTGAACTCAGTTCTACACCTCAGTGAGCCTTCACCTCTGGAAGCCTCAACTGAGCTGTGTGA